AGGTCAGGTTACACTGTTGAATATCCTATTATGTAAAGCTAAAGCGCGTAGACTTTGGCATCGCATAGTAGATGTTTTACGGCTCTATAGACACAGAAATGACAGTTATGGCAACAGTGAGGACCTTGTTTTATATAATATTTAGCTAGTGTTTGTGTCTGACTTCTTTTACTTTATTATTGTGGGTGTTTTACGTAATAGAACTTAAAAAAATTTGGGGCGTCTCGGCACGACCGTGCTCTATGGACGAACGGCGCCTGGTTGTAGTTACGTACTTTGGTCCCCACGACCAAAGGCAGAGGCATGAGCAACAGTGGCGTCACCCACAGGATGATAATGCTGCGCCATGACCACAACCACTGGCGTACTGAGACCCGGGTCATCCTGAGATAGTCTGAAATGCAAACAAATTGGTAGGTTAGGTAATAGATAGATATTGTTTGCGATACAAACAGATAAAGTGATAACAGGTAGCAATTGGTAGGTTCAGTCATCCCGAGACATTGTCCTGCAACACATACAGATAGCAATAGGAAGGTTCAATCATCCCCGAGATATTGTTCGCAATTCAGACATAGAGACCACAGATAGCAAAGTATGTTCAGTCTTCCTGAGGTCCTCATACATACAGTTAGCTACTGGTAGATTCAGCCATCCAAAGAAATTGTCTAAATTATATACAGATAGTAATAGGTAGGTTCAGTCAACCCGAGATACTGTCTGCAATATAAACAGACAAATAGATTACATATAGCAGTTGGTTGGTTCAATCATCCAGTAACTCTCAAATATAAACCAAAGCAGTAATTGGTAAATAGAGTCAATCTGAGATACTGTCTGAAATACTAATTGGTAGACTCAGTCAATCCAATTGGGTCTCGGGAAAACGAATAGAGCACAAAAAGTCTTTGGTCTGAGACTGATCGGACATTTGTGCTACGACCTTAAAGTGGTTGCTAGAATTGGTGAGCAGTAACTGTGTTCTTTGATCTACTTTTCTTTTTTTAACTTACATGTTTTTACTGCCCCATAAATATAGTTTAGACAATTTAGGAGGTGGGATTTGACCCTACTTTCAAAGCCAACAGGGGCTGAGTGGGGTACTATATACCAGCAGAAAGTCTGAGGTTCTCTGAAAAAGTGTCCCCTCTGTTCGAATAAGTGGTTCCATGAGAATATTTCCTCACAACGAAGTAAAATGATTCTCTTTCACATTCTCTACTCAAAGCTGAATAAGGTTTTAGATATCAACAAAATCAGGAAACTGTATTCTGTACCTCTTCGGACTTTTGAGATTGATCCCTCTACTTACCTGAATGAAAAGTTTTCCAAAAGCCAGAACAGCAAACCCGTATGTATTTATATAGAACACGCTTCAAACTGTGTCCCCAGCGTAGTAGTAAGGAACAGGGGATTGGAGCGGAATTAACCGTTGAAGTGAATTATACGGGCGATGTCTCAATGGAAGAAGCTTCGTGCTGATTAAGGCAGATCTATTGTAGTGAGAGTCCGCCAATCATATAGCAGACATTTTGTGGCACCAGCAAAACGATTAATCATGTGCTGCGTTTTATGTCACAAACACACTTTGTGCTCCACAGGTGCTTCTCCAGCTATTGTTGTTTTCGCCCCTTCTTTGTATTTTAAGAATTATTACTATTGTTGGTTGTTGTCGGCTTATTTTGTGGGGCGGTTTGCGGAGGAGGGAGGGGGTGACAGCAAAGAGGCACAGTTAAATTTTCATGTTAGTTGAGAAAAAAAACCTTTTGCGAACCTAATATACAGAAAAGAAATTCACTTTAAAAAGTTGCTGATATTTTAGAATATGTATAGTAACTGACAACTGTTTGTTCTTATGGCCTGGGAAGTACAGATTTGAATTTGAAAGGGAAAGGGGGGGGGCGGGGATATGTGTGCTGCAGAGCTTATAATGTTGTTTCTGCTAAGCAAGCAAAAAAGATATTTTTTACTATGTGCCTACCTGTTCTGAAGTTTCCAAGACGGACTTCTGCAACTTTACTGTAATCATTGCAGCAAGGGGCTCTTGTGGTTTAGAGATACGGTGTTCGCTTCTCTTTTAAACCAGGGCTCCTCACTCTTTTATTCCAGTCTCTCTCTTTCTCTCTCTCTCTCTCTCTCTC